CAGCTGACTTTGATCTTTTTGGGGTAGAAGTCGAAGACGCTGCAGACCAACATGGCTGAATGTTTACCACCAGAGGGCGTCGTAGAGCTCAGTACTACGTAGGGCTCAGCTGAAGAACAGAAGGAAGATTACACTGTTGTTTAATTATCAGTAGTTGCAGTGACAAAGTTTGACCAGCAGGTGGTGACAGAGAGCTGAGTCTGATGTGTCTCCATTAACAGGAACTTTATATCACTCTGACAGTATTGATTATTGATCAGTTATCAGTGATCTGAGCTGAGTTAGACTGTCATAAATCAATATGATCAATAAAGACTGTCAGATGAATCAGTGCCCTGCCATGTTACTGTACTGACAGTTAGTGAGCGCAGTGTGTGTGTGTGTGTGTGTGTGTGTTATATGTGGGGGGTGGGAGGGGCATTGTTTTTATTTATATAACACTTTGTGTTGCATTTTTAATTCAACACAAAGTGTTTTATAAATAAAGTTTGATTTGATTTGAGTAGAGCTGATGGTGATGATGATGATGATGATGATGAAGGTGATGAAGGTGTGGATGTTACAGAAACACAGACTCACCTGACTTAGTCAGAGCATGTGGGTAGAAAGCCTCAACGTGGTTCACACAGTACCTCTCCTTCTCACCTCTCATCTGAGCCAGTAATGAAGGATCATTGTTCCAGGCCTCAGCGTTCTTCAGACCAGGCTCAGTGTATCCAACAAACTTCCCCAAACTGCTGCTGAACCTGACGTCCTCCACTTTGTTGAAATAATAAGACTGCATGTACTCGATGTCCTTTGGATCAGTGGAGTTAAACACACAGCGGTTCAGAGAATATTCCAGAAACCCATCTGAGGAACAAAAACAGATTGAACCTCAGTCAGTCAATAAAGTATTGATCAGTGATCAGTGTATTGATGAGTGTATTGATGAGTGATGAGTGTTTTGATCAGTGATCAGTGTATTGATGAGTGATCAGTGTATTGATGAGTGATCAGTGTATTGATGACTGATCAGTGTATTGATGAGTGATCAGTGTATTGATGACTGATCAGTGTATTGATGAGTGTGTTGATCAGTTATCAGTGTATTGATGAGTGATCAGTGTATTGATGAGTGTATTGATGAGTGATCAGTGTATTGATGAGTGATCAGTGTATTGATGAGTGTGTTGATGAGTGATCAGTGTATTGATGAGTGATCAGTGTATTGATGAGTGTGTTGATGAGTGATCAGTGTATTGATGAGTGATCAGTGTATTGATGAGTGTGTTGATGAGTGATCAGTGTATTGATGAGTGATCAGTGTATTGATGAGTGTGTTGATGAGTGATCAGTGTATTGATGAGTGATCAGTGTATTGATGAGTGTGTTGATGAGTGATCAGTGTATTGATGAGTGATCAGTGTATTGATGAGTGTGTTGATGAGTGATCAGTGTATTGATGAGTGATCAGTGTATTGATGAGTGTGTTGATGAGTGATCAGTGTATTGATGAGTGATCAGTGTATTGATGAGTGTGTTGATGAGTGATCAGTGTATTGATGAGTGATCAGTGTATTGATGAGTGTGTTGATGAGTGATCAGTGTATTGATGAGTGATCAGTGTATTGATGAGTGTGTTGATGAGTGATCAGTGTATTGATGAGTGATCAGTGTATTGATGAGTGTGTTGATGAGTGATCAGTGTATTGATGAGTGATCAGTGTATTGATGAGTGTGTTGATGAGTGATCAGTGTATTGATGAGTGATCAGTGTATTGATGAGTGTGTTGATGAGTGATCAGTGTATTGATGAGTGATCAGTGTATTGATGAGTGTGTTGATGAGTGATCAGTGTATTGATGAGTGATCAGTGTATTGATGAGTGTGTTGATGAGTGATCAGTGTATTGATGAGTGATCAGTGTATTGATGAGTGTGTTGATGAGTGATCAGTGTATTGATGAGTGATCAGTGTATTGATGAGTGTGTTGATGAGTGATCAGTGTATTGATGAGTGATCAGTGTATTGATGAGTGTGTTGATGAGTGATCAGTGTATTGATGAGTGATCAGTGTATTGATGAGTGTGTTGATGAGTGATCAGTGTATTGATGAGTGATCAGTGTATTGATGAGTGTGTTGATGAGTGATCAGTGTATTGATGAGTGATCAGTGTATTGATGAGTGTGTTGATGAGTGATCAGTGTATTGATGAGTGATCAGTGTATTGATGAGTGTGTTGATGAGTGATCAGTGTATTGATGAGTGATCAGTGTATTGATGAGTGTGTTGATGAGTGATCAGTGTATTGATGAGTGATCAGTGTATTGATGAGTGTGTTGATGAGTGATCAGTGTATTGATGAGTGATCAGTGTATTGATGAGTGTGTTGATGAGTGATCAGTGTATTGATGAGTGATCAGTGTATTGATGAGTGTGTTGATGAGTGATCAGTGTATTGATGAGTGATCAGTGTATTGATGAGTGTGTTGATGAGTGATCAGTGTATTGATGAGTGATCAGTGTATTGATGAGTGTGTTGATGAGTGATCAGTGTATTGATGAGTGATCAGTGTATTGATGAGTGTGTTGATGAGTGATCAGTGTATTGATGAGTGATCAGTGTATTGATGAGTGTGTTGATGAGTGATCAGTGTATTGATGAGTGATCAGTGTATTGATGAATGTGTTGATGAGTGATCAGTGTATTGATGAGTGATCAGTGTATTGATGAGTGTGTTGATGAGTGATCAGTGTATTGATGAGTGATCAGTGTATTGATGAGTGTGTTGATGAGTGATCAGTGTATTGATGAGTGATCAGTGTATTGATGAGTGTGTTGATGAGTGATCAGTGTATTGATGAGTGATCAGTGTATTGATGAGTGTGTTGATGAGTGATCAGTGTATTGATGAGTGATCAGTGTATTGATGAGTGTGTTGATGAGTGATCAGTGTATTGATGAGTGATCAGTGTATTGATGAGTGTGTTGATGAGTGATCAGTGTATTGATGAGTGATCAGTGTATTGATGAGTGTGTTGATGAGTGATCAGTGTATTGATGAGTGATCAGTGTATTGATGAGTGTGTTGATGAGTGATCAGTGTATTGATGAGTGATCAGTGTATTGATGAGTGTGTTGATGAGTGATCAGTGTATTGATGAGTGATCAGTGTATTGATGAGTGTGTTGATGAGTGATCAGTGTATTGATGAGTGATCAGTGTATTGATGAGTGTGTTGATGAGTGATCAGTGTATTGATGAGTGATCAGTGTATTGATGAGTGTGTTGATGAGTGATCAGTGTATTGATGAGTGATCAGTGTATTGATGAGTGTGTTGATGAGTGATCAGTGTATTGATGAGTGATCAGTGTATTGATGAGTGTGTTGATGAGTGATCAGTGTATTGATGAGTGATCAGTGTATTGATGAGTGTGTTGATGAGTGATCAGTGTATTGATGAGTGATCAGTGTATTGATGAGTGTGTTGATGAGTGATCAGTGTATTGATGAGTGATCAGTGTATTGATGAGTGTGTTGATGAGTGATCAGTGTATTGATGAGTGATCAGTGTATTGATGAGTGTGTTGATGAGTGATCAGTGTATTGATGAGTGATCAGTGTATTGATGAGTGTATTGATGAGTCATCAGTGTATTGATAAGTGTATTGATGAGTGATCAGTGTATTGATGAGTGTGTTGATGAGTGATCAGTGTATTGATGAGTGTATTAATGAGTGATCAGTGTATAGATGAGTGTATTGATGAGTGATCAGTGTATTGATGAATGTATTGATGAGTCATCAGTGTATTGATGAGTGTGTTGATGAGTCATCAGTGTATTGATGAGTGTGTTGATGAGTCATCAGTGTATTGATGAGTGTATTGATGAGTGATCAGTATATTGATGAGTGTATTAATGAGTGATCAGTGTATTGATGAGTGTGTTGATCAGTGATCAGTGTATTGATGAGTGTATTGATGAGTGATCAGTGTATTGATGAGTGTGTTGATCAGTGATCAGTGTATTGATGAGTGTATTGATGAGTGATCAGTGTATTGATGAGTGTATTGATAAGTGTGTTGATCGTACCTGCTGTGTAGAGGCTGAAGAAGTATAAACAGTATAAAGTGTGTATTGATGAGTGATCAGTGTATTGATGAGTGATGAGTGTATTGATGAGTGTATTGATGAGTGATCAGTGTATTGATGAGTGATCAGTGTGTTGATGAGTGTGTTGATGAGAGATCAGTATATTGATGAGTGTATTGATGAGTGTGTTGATCAGTGATCAGTGTATTGATCAGTGTATTGATCAGTGTGTTGATGAGAGATCAGTATATTGATGAGTGTATTGATCAGTGTGTTGATCAGTGATCAGTGTATTGATCAGTGTGTCGATGAGTGTATTGATCAGTGTATTGATCAGTGATCAGTGTATTGATCAGTGTATTGATCAGTGTGTTGATGAGTGATCAGTGTATTGATGAGTGTGTTGATGAGTGTGTTGATGAGTGTATTGATCATTGTATTGATCAGTGTGTTGATCAGTGTATTGATCAGTGTGTTGATCAGTGTGTTGATCAGTGTGTTGATCAGTGTATTGATGAGTGTGTTGGTCGTACCTGCTGTGTAGAGGCTGATGAAGAGGAGGGAGAAGCTGAGAAAGGATGAAGCCATGTTCCTCTGTTCACCAGACAAACACTGACACAGTCTCACTGAGAGCTGCTCTAAATACCAGAGGGCATGATGACGTCATCATCATCAGCTGTTGCCAGGCAGACAGTTCACAGTAAAGTCTGCTGCTGGAGCTCACACACACACACACACAGTCACACACACAGTCACAGTCACACTGGAGACTGAGGGGAAGTCCTGATCAAGGTTTTCATCAATGATCTGAGTCTTTTAGGGCTATCTGATGATACAGAGTCCGATCAGATTATATTAAGCTAAATGACAAAGCTGCTCAGTGAGCGCTTTATGCTACAACCTGAGCATGAGATCTGTTATTAAACAGCTAGATGTGCATGTTCAGTAAGGATATATTTTTCTTTGACATAACACATGGGTTTACATATTATGAATAATTTCATAATCGACTATTTTTAAAAAGTCAATGGGATTTTTACATTGGGCAGTTTTGTCAAGAACCCAAATGCCCCCTGGTGCCAATTTGACTTACAAGCTCTACATTCAATAATTTTCTTTCAGATACCTTGTAAAGAAGGAGCTCTTTTTTTGCCACTTTTGGACTTTGTTCCAATTTCTGATGGGAAGGCCAACACAATTGTGAATGCTGTCCATGATGTCATCAATAAGAAGGGCATTCCCCAGGAAAAGATATTTGGTGTTGGAACAGATTGTGCAGCAGTCAAGACTGGTAAATTTACTGCACCATTCTCCACACCAAAACACTTATGTGCTCTAATTTATTGTTTGTACATTTAATTTTTTTTCCTCTTCCCTTGTCTTTTTTAAATAGGACGGCAACATGGAGTGGCAAAGCAATTGTGTGATATCATGCCATGGATAGTTCCAGTGCACTGTGCTGCCCACCGTCTGGCCCTAGTCTGTAAAACTGCCTCAACAACACCCTACATGGAGACCTTTAGGGACCACCTGCAGCAGCTTCACCTATACTTCAAGAACAGTGCCAAAAGAACAGCAGTCCTGAAGGAAACTGTCAGACTCCTGGGCATCTGTCATCTGAAGGTGAAGGTAGGACAAATATTCATTCTTTCTTGGAGAATTGGAGATCACTGACAGTTATATTTAGGGTTTATGTGCTTTATTATGTGCTTTATTTTAGTCAGAAATGTATTAATTATCTCCCCACAATAATTTCTAGGAGGTCAAAGACACGCGTTGGCTTTCACAGCACCAGGCAGCAGCCAAACTGCGCCGGAATCTCCCTGCAGTGCTAACTGCCCTGCCAGAGGAGGTGGAGCACAACAAGTGCCCTGTGGCAAAAGGTCTTTACTCCTATTGTGCCACTTACAGATTTGTGGCTGCTCTTTACTTCCAGGCCGACTTGCTACCACATCTGGCGAGGTTGTCAAAGGTTTTCCAAAAGGAGAATGTTAATTTCCTTGCTTTGAAAGACCAAGTAAGATAATTTCTTTCTGCTTTTTTGTTGTTATTTTTTTTAAAGCAGTGCAGCCACGTCTGTTCATGTGTGTGTGGCCATTTGTAGCATGAGCTCAGTAGTATACCATACTGTCCAGCAGGCCAGCTGAGACTGCTCATTAACCTGTGCCACTTACATGAATGTCATGTTTTTTTCTCAGGTGCCAATCAAAATCGAAGCTATCAACAAGATCAAGGAGGCAGGTGATTGACAGCCTCCTGGTTCAGCTCTGTCTACACTCCATTGTGATCTGAACAATCCCAATGGGCTGGGACTGTTGAGCATACAAGCTGAGGAGGAGCGGGGCAGGAGAGGCCAGCACTCCACCATGTGTGGAGCCTACCTCGGTCTGTCTGGGTTGGGGTGGTCTCTGTGGCGGCACTCCCTGTGGCCGTAGGCTGTGACACCTCTCGGTGTGGATGAGCTCCCCATAGGTGGTTCTTTCCTCACCTGGTTCCTCAGTGCCCAACCATGTTATTGACTATATTGACTGTGTGTGTGTGTGTGTGTGTTTATATGTGGGGGTGGGAGAGGCGGGTTTTCAATATGTATGTAGTATATTTGTTGTATGTTTTTATCTTGTGAGGCACTTTGTGTTGCATTTTTAATGTATGAAAAGTGCTACATAAATAAAGTTTGATTTGATTTGATTTGAAGGCTGCAAATTTGTACACAACAATTATCAAAAATGTATTTTTATATAAATAGGTGATGGAGCCATATGTAGAACACCTCACAGATGAGCTGAAAGCATGGTTCCACCAACTGCATATCCTGGGTGCCTTCAGTGTCCTGGAAACCAGTGCAGCCAGGAAATCAGACCAAGATGTTCCGGTGTTATAGTGACGTGGAAAAATGTGAGATATATGTATATAGTTAAACCCTGCTGGTTTTCTACCCGAAAGTATTCTAAACAACGAGGCAATTCCCTTTATTTATACTACGGCTTCTTCTTCTTCTTCTTCTTCTTCTTCTTTCAATTTATTGGCGGATCGCAAACAACTTCCAGGTGCATACCGCCACCTACTGTACAAGAGTGTGTATTTATACTGCTACAGCCTCAGGGGGCGTGTTTGTAGCAGGGATAGCTCCGGTACGTAACGTGGCTAGGATTTAAGGCCCGCCCACTAAATCCAGAACACAGAAACCTAGAAACACAGTTTGTGGAGCCTAGCTCCACAATTCCATTGTAAACGGTTGAAAGGCTTTTTTACACATTTTGAGGAATACTTTTATGACCTATTTAATGTGTTAAGAAGAAAATAGCAGAATTTGCTTTACACGGACTTTAAATTTAAAAAATTACTAAATTAATACAAATCTTCACTTTTGGTAGGTGAAAACAGACCTCAGGAACAGGCTTCAAGGAGAGCACTTGGGGGCCTGCATGAAGATCTCAATAAATGGGCCTCCTGTGGCAAAATTTCCATATCATGATGCCATGGTGAAATTCTTCTCCAAGCCAAGGAAGATAAAGTGCAGCAAGGAATCATGCACACTGTGTTTGTGATATGTTAAATGTAAAAGGACACATGAAAATGAAATGGGCAGCTCATTTAACTGTGAATTGGTTGTATACACTGTATGGTTTGTATTTACTGCATATTTAAATTTTATTTTATACAAAATATATTCTGTTTACCTACTATAGTTGGTCCCAGACTGTGCCTTTTTTGTTGTCTGTGAAATGTTTGACACTCAAAATTTTCCCGGGGGGAGGACCCCCAGACCCCATGCTAAAGTTGTCCCCCAACTGGAGCTTGCTACCAGGCCTGAAAATTTTTCTAGGGGAAACACTGTAAATTGTTGTATATAAATGAAAACATATTGAACATGATAACACACAGTACAACATGAGTCAGATGTGTCAATCACCGGTAGCACCCTTCTATAATTTAGTCTGGATATATTTTTTTATTTACACTGGCAGAAGCAGTGCAGTGTGGATGAATGAAAAATGAAAACAATAAACAGTTCCCAGGTGGTAACACGTTACGTGACATGTAAGGGTTAATCCACTAGTAGGTGTGCTCCAAACGGTTTTAATGCACGACATGGGGGAGAAGAACTACCCGACGCCCAGTGGAGGGTAGTTGCCTCTGCGAAGTGCATTAAAACCGTTTGGAGCACACCTACTAGTGGATTAACCCGCTTATACCATGGTCATTTGCCAAGAATATAGGAATAAAAGGATTCAACAACTTTTGGTGAAAGTTTTGTACTCAAAATCGAAAGTTTTTGAAGCAAGAGCTTACCATTGTCATGACAAGGAATAAACTAGTCCCTTTTACAACCACGCCAGTTTCAGTAGTCACAGTAGGACGGGATGAGGCTCAATGGGGTGTCAGTTCCTTGTGCCGTTTTTCGCTTGATTTTTTTCTTTCCTTCTCCATTTCTTTTTCTTCTGCGGCATCCCATTCCTCAAAATCCTTGTAGCTACTCTCCAAATAAGTTAAAAGAAATGTTAAAATCAGCCATTTCTGTTTGTTTTTTCCCTTGGCAGTTGACAGTTTGACAGCTGTGCTCGTTAATGTTGCTATGGTTACAGGCTGGTTAGCGGATGAATTTAGACAGTTATAAAGTTTAGCCAAACTACGTGTACATTAAAGGGTTTTAACGCATACCTGCCGACCAATCAGAGAAGAGTATTCACCCAGACCATGGTATAATATAAATGTAATAATATTACCCACAATCTTGTTGGTAACGTGTTATATTTGTTACTACCAAAATGTATATTCCTGCTGTTACCATGAACACTGTTTCTACATACTTAATCACTTTTTACACAATGTTACTGACTTTCCTTTGGTTACATGTGACTTTTAATTTCTCCTAAAATTCTGAATTTAATCTCGTAACATTTTGGCTTTATTCTTGTATATCCACAGCTTCATTCTGATAGATTTACGATTTTATTCTGGAAGAGTAACAGTTTTATTCTGGAAGATCAACTAATTTATTCTCGTAGATTAATAACTTAAAGGTGATAGATACAGGATTCGTACCTCCCGGTCAGTAGGTGTCACACTCCCTCTCGCTCCACTCTTCAGTTCTACAGGTTGCCAGGTTGGTAAAAGACAGACACTGGAGACAGCGATGTCAAGTGAAGAGTCTTCTGTGGTATAGTTATTAAAACATAATAATAATAAATGATGAATCTTCTCTTGTGCGCCCTGTAACACACTGTAACAATCTGCGTAGAGCATTTCTAGCTCCACTCGTCACTAATGCTAACGTAATTAGTCAGTTAGGATCCTTTGTTGTGGTGGACACACGGATTCCCTGATTCAACAACGTCCTGTACACACACAAAAACACCAAGTATTCTTGATATTAAAACGGCAAATATATTCCTCTGTTATAATTTACCACCAATAATAATAATAATAATAATAATAATAATAATAATAACATGATAGTTCGGCTGTACGAGATATTTGATATATTCACTAGATTCACTTTTTTACGACTCTATTTTACAACAAGCTGCAAAAAACTAACGTTACTGTCCCAAAAACGCAGTTTCCAGCATATTAGCTAAAATATCTGAAATTAGCCATCATCCTTACTTTTTCTTATCATAGTTCATC